GTGTGTGTGTGTGTGTGTGTGTGTGTGTGTGTGTGTGTGTGTTATTACAGAGTGCTGATTCTTTCTTTTAAAAATATGATGGCTTTCAAGCATCTTGCCAAAAAGTGCAGAGGTTAATCTAGTCTTATTAGGAAAAGTCTCCACATTCAAGATTATGCAGTAGAAACACTGTAATGCTCTCTCCATATTCCTTTGCTAGTGGTGACACATTTCAGAAGGACCACCAAAGCGTGCCTGAACCCATGAAAAGTTTGTGTGGGAAGAAGCATAATTGCAACTAGTACATCTGGTGCAAGATTGCCTAAAATAATCCCCAAGGTATATGCCAAAAACTAATTTGGTGACTAAATGTTTGAAACTTCTAAATCACTTTTAAGAATGACTCAATACGCAGTATAATAGGAAGTGATCACCTCGCCAAACATGCTATATCTTGGAATCCCTTTTCTTATTCCTTCTATACCTTCTCTTGGCTTTTTCCAGGTAATTGATTTGGGCGGTGAAGCCATCCAAAGCTCTGAATACTTCAGAAATGGCCGAGTGACTGAATTTAAATACGGCATGCAGTTGGGGACGGTCCTTCGCAAATGGAATGGACAAAAGATGGCAAATTTGAAGTAATTATTTTTGACACTAACCAGGACCAAAGAGGGATCCAGGTGTAAGAGGGAGGGTACAGGTGCCTTCAAAAAAAAATTTTGTGTGGGCTTTTGATGAAAAGCTTGGCAACTGTGCTACTCAAATTGGAAGGGCTGGATCATATCCTCCTAAATAGGCCTACTTTGAAATGTCTTGTTAAATACATTCTTATTTCTTCCTGATTTAGGAGCTGGGGAGAAAGCTGGCACATGATGCCCTCTAATAAAGCCTTCGTCTTTGTTGATAATCACGACAACCAGAGGGGACATGGAAGTGGTGGGTCCTCCATTCTCACGTTTTGGAACCCTAGGTAAACCTGCCCCTATTTTTTAGCATAGTTTATAAAAGCTGTTTTGTAGTTGCAAATTAAATCTCAAAACCAAATGGTGCACATCCCATCCCATCAGAAGTTTAAAAAGTCTTCCCACTAGTAATTTACAAATTAATACTATTTGGAGTGGTAGTCAACCTTTTTCTACCTACCGCCCACTAATGGATCTNCAAGGTAAGAGAGAGAAAGAGAGAGAGAGGAGAGAGAGAGAGAGAGAGGAGAGAGAGAGAGAAAGAGAGAGAGAGAGAGAGAAAGAGAGGACACAGAGAGAAAGAGAGAGAAAGAAAGAGAGAGAGAAGGAGTTAGATTTGAGAAGAGCACTTTGATAAGAACTAATCTGATAATTTTCAGACAAGTCATAATTCATTATGGTCTTCAAGGTGGTTATGGAGAGATTTTGTAAGCAAGCTCTCTGGATTGACTCCATTATCTATTCCTGGACCAGGCAAAAGCCATCCTTCCTTAAAGATGAATATCAAACTGCTTATTTAGATGTTCTTTAGACAAGTGAGAGTTACTCCCTTCATTTCCAGGGGCCAAATACCATAAAGGCTTTTATGGGGCACAAGAGAAGATGATGCCACGTGATCCAATGCTCCCTTTGTGAACTGCCTCTGTGCTATCCACCCCCCACCCCCAAGTTAAATCCTTTCTCAGATCCTAGATACTCCTGGAATCCAGCCAGGAGTTACATTAGCGTATTAAGTGTTGAATTAAAGAGGTGCAATCTGCCTTAATAGAAGTTGCCCTCATTAAGGAATGCGCATCGTTCTGATTTCCATTCCTGAGTCTGGGACACTTCATTTGTCTGCCTTCCTCTCCAAGCAGGCATGGGGTAGGTTCTAATTAGCCACGTCCTGCTTGGCTGTTGGGGAGGAGAACGGGAATCCAACCAGCTTCGGGCCTGATTGGGAAACATTTCTAAAACACTGAAAGAAGCACGGGGGTCCCTGGGAAGAGGTGGGAGGGGACCATTGCACCTGCATGGATCCCTCCCCTCCCAAGTCTCACATCACTTCCTAATTTCACCAGAGCAAAACTGGACAGCTCAAAGAGAGAAGGATGGAGCATCACTGCAATGGTTGCGTAGAGAGTCATCTCTGAGAGAGATGACCAAGAGAAGAGAAAGATGGGCACCAGATGGGTTAATTTGGGGGCTGAGATGGCACAGTGGTTAAATGCAGCACTGCAGGCGACTTCAGCTGACTGCAGTTCTGCAGTTCGGCTGTTCAAATCTCACCNATTTTTGCTTCCCCCCCCCCCCGAGGAACAGTCTACAAGCCTCCGAAGGGCTATTCATGCCCTTAAAAGGGGGGGGGGGCGTTTTCACAAAAACAGGCTGTTTTGGGGAGGTTTGCAGAGTGCAAAAACTTTTTTTTTAATTTGCCGATTCAAAACCTTGGTGCGTCTTATACTCCAAAAAATACGGTAAATAAGCTTCCTATTTCATTGTTCATCCTTCCATTCCGAAAGAGGCAACTGAAAGGTATTTTGCATGGAAGGCTGCTCGGTCTCCAGCTGGGATGTTTTTTTCTTTTTTGTTTTAAAAAGACCATTATGCCTGATTGTGATTCAGGTAGAACTCACCCAGGATGTCTGAATGCAGAACTTTGAAAGTTTTGAAAGCGATGGCAATCATGTTAGTCCACGGAAAAGCAGGAAGCCTTCACCTCTCATTGGAAAGGCCTTCGTTTGGCCCAGTGGTGGGTTCTGGATCCCATCGCAACCGGTACGCTGCACACGGGGACGGGCATCCTAATCGGGCACGGGCGCTGCGCATGCTTGCGCACACAACCAACCTGCAACACTCAGCTGCTCGGTGGTGGTTGCGCAGGCACTGCAATTGGCCAGTTGTGTTATAAACAGCTATGGAATTTGGGCGGGCGGGTGGACCAAATGAGCCACTGTATCGGTACGGTGGCTGCTGCTCCCGGCTACTACCTGTTGTGGCTCGGTAGGAACCTATGGAGCTCCTATCAGACTGACACAGAAACCTCCTGTGAGTGGTTTCAGGATGCTCACAGGAGAAGATAACAAGCAGCTGGGGCTCGTTAAGGATCTGTGGATAAAAGACTAATGGTGACATGCCTTAGTTGCAGAAATCAACGTCGTTCGTTCGTTCGTTCGTTCCCTTCCGTTCCTGATCTAGCTTGTGTTCATGATTCAAAGAAGCACTTGGATAAGTGATTTGCTTTACTATAAACCTGGTTTGCTGGGAGAGTTTGTTTTTGCATTTGCTGTTTAACTTTTTGCCAGAGAACTTATCTATGTTTATTTTGGGCTCGCAGCCAGCAAAAAGCCGGGACTGATAAAGACATTCCTTTGCAAGCTGTGTGTGTGGCTGTCGTTTCTGAACGAGCAAGGAGGGGGGTTAGAACACTACCTGTACGCCCGTACCGCTACTGGTTTGGCCCAATAAAACAGGAGCTAACAAGGACGCAATCTTTTGTAGTTCTAGGATGAAGCGTGTAGCCTGGATGCCTTTGGGAAAGGCAGCATATCCCCCAAGTATTTTTTGAGGAGCTGTCCAGCACTTCTGGACTTAAGTGGCCAAAGCTTCAGAGGAGCTGTCCAACAAGAGATTTGCTAAGCCTCACCAGGATAAGACATCACCCGCCACCGTAGAAGCTTCGACTCTCCTGCTGTGGCCTTTTTGGGGGTGTCACCAGAACCCGAATCTTGACCAATGCTCAGGCGTAGCTTCACTCAAGGAAGATATTCCACAGCCAGACGAACAACGAAGTACTGACCAATTTATTGCTTCCAAGGTCCTACAGGTGGCCAGGAGGCAAAATGCTTGTAATCAAGAACCAGGGAAGGTGTCTTAGTCCAGCGCCCCCACCCCCATTTGATCAACTGCAGAGGTGTGGACATCAGCTTCTGGAATTCTCCAACCAATACGGTCCTTTTGGAGAATTCAAGGAAAGGATTAGCAGGGGAATCTTCCCTTTCCTAAGGAAATACCGCTGGATTGAATAGATCCCAAAGGAATAACGAGAGAGTCTGGTGGAATCTCCATCTACAGCCTGCCTTGCAGTGGTAGGTTTCAAAAATTGTTCGAACCTACTCTGTGGGTGTGGCCTCCTTTGTGGGAGTGGCTTGCCGTCCATGTGACCGGATGGGAGTGGCTTGTGACCCCTTGTGACCGGATATGAAGATGCTGACGACACTTGTCAGAACCACCTTAAATTTCCTCACACACAGCACTGGCCTGCATAAGAATAGGATGTAAACTTGTTTTTGAAAAGGCAT